ATGCTAGAGCAGAAATGATAAAGGAACAACATGATGGAAATCCAATATTTGATCATAAAATGTGGATGTTTAAACCTCTACAATAGTTCATAGCCCTTTTGCAAAAAAGTACTTGTGGATTTTCATTGTTAAATGCATCCTTTAAAAGGCCCACTAGCTTCTGTATTTTCTGCAAAGCCTCAAATGAACATCCTAATGTTCTTTTGCTTAACTTTAACAATGTAAGGACCACTTGAGCAAATAGCAATAAACTGAATGAAATAATTAAAAATATGCAAGGCTAGGCTGCAAGAAATCCCTTTCTTTTTTTATGCGTGCGACGCATCTCAGGAACAAGAACCCACTGCGCGCATTTTTATATCGAACAGAAAAATCGCCTTTTTGATTCGCTTAGCATTTTAAAGTAAAAAAAGCGTTTGAACGTGTTTTCATCGAAATATAACAAGAACTGTTTGAACCAACTTAGTTGGAGGCATTATGCTTCCTTTTACTTGATCTCAATTGAATTCGCATCTGAGGACTTGCAGGGCAGTGTTCGGGTTCCTTCCAAATTCCAAAATGTGGTACATCTACTAGAGCCAAAAATTGCGTTAACGCAATATATGGAATAAAAAGTGTGGACTATAGCCTTTACTTTTTATACCACATATTGCGATAACGCAATATATGGTATAAAAAGTATGGACTATAGCCTTTACTTTTTACAACATATATTACGTGAAAACGCAATTTGTGGTCAGTAGATGTATCGCATTTTGCGATCGTTGATTAAATGAATTTTTAAAAAAATGGAATAAAGACGTTCTTGACCAAACAACCTGTTCACAATGATATTCAGGCCCACTCTCATCCCCAGAGCCGCTTGTCCTTCTTAGCCTGTGCACTAGAAACAAGTGGCTCTCGGGACACATGATTTGGTCGGCCGGATTTGAAAGGGAGTTTAAAATCGAGCCAGTCGAAGCAACAGTTTCAAACTCCTGTATAACAAGGTAATTTTATGACGGCTCCTTTGATTGGCTGTTTTTTTTGTGTAGAACCGGCCAAGATTCTCGTGCACGGGCTGAGCCGGCTAAGAGGGACAAGCGGCTCTGGCGACAAGGATAATGCAAGCCAAGGAAATAGAAACAAAGTCGGGTGAAACGGTTTAACGAATGCTATGCAGATCCAGACAAAACTCTACGTTGTGAAAGACACCTAATCGCAGTAACGTTGTCATTTCAAAAAGGAAAAAGATACAAGCAAAACGCAAAAAAAAAAAACAACAACAACAACGACGACAGGAAGTAATTAGGCACGTGATCTACATTCCCTTATTTTAATTGAACTGAGCTAGATAAATCAGTATTGCGCATGAAAATGGCACCAGAAAAACTTTAATTTATGCTAATTATTTCTTTCAATTGCACAATTAATTTGCAGCAATAGACGGTTGTTAGTGTTGAAACGTATTACCATTTAACTAATTCCACTTTGGTTCTTTGCTTTGGTATTGACGTCAATGCAATAAGGTGTAAGCAATATGCATTCCACCGCCCGTACAGGACGATTATTTTATAACAACCTCAATCAATAGTCGATACAATGGGCGTATTTACTTGCAATACACGCGTATTGCCGTCACAATTGCACGTTGGAATTTTTGTCCTCGCGCTAAAACAAGATAGTATTCCAACGGGCAAATGCGACGGCTAAACGCGTATAAAGACGCACAGTAACATAACCCACGATTAAGATCCTGATAAGCTAAAGAACCTCTTTAGCCTTTAACTTCAAGAACCTCTTAAGCCGACATATGGAAAAGGTTCTTTTTTGTTTCCTAAAATCGTTAACAAATGTTTATTTTTAGGGAAATAAGATAGGCCGACATTCTGGATCCTCTCTGGAGACACCAAGCGGCCTTTAACCCTAAACTGGGAAGAAAGGGAGACAAACAAGGACTGGGAAAAGGAAAGGGAAAGGGAAAGAAGGAACGGGAAAATGGAAACAAGGGAGAATGGAAAGAGTATAAATGGTGTTGTATGGTGTCAGAGTAAAATTATTACTTCCATGCGTCAAAGGCCTTACAAGAAAGGTAATTGTACATTTGAAGTGGATCAAATAAGGACCTGAAACAGTTGTCATTTAAATCATGACAGCACCTCCAGAGAATCATTGGAGTTCCATGCAAAAACTAAAATGGAATGCGTCATGCATTTTCCTTTTTTGAAATAAATCAAATGAAATGTATTTCGATCCATGGGTGAGAAGTATTAAGGTCTACACATGTAGATCTCACTAAGTGTTCTATCAAAAATGTTGCACAATGAATAGCTACACTAAGGAATAATCAATATCTATCCTATGAAAAGTTTTTTTAAAGATTATTACAATAAAACGAAAATGCAATAAACTGTAAGTATCTCAAATTTTACGTTCATTTCCTCTTGTTCACTCCCGAGCAAGAAGCGAGTGGAGGAAACTGCAAAAATACTGGCCAGTAAAACCAATAACAGGTATTGAGAAGCCACATGAAAATTAAACTTCAAGATGCTACTTTTCATGCATAAAATGTTGAGCAAAACTACCACAATGAACTGCAGGCATATATTTACATGTACATCGAGAAAACTGCCTGGTAAATTGACCAGCTATTGTTAAGTCAAAATAATTAAAAACACCAACAAGATGTAATTCAAGCACTCCTACAAATACGGCACTTGAAAACAACCAGTTGTAAAACTATGCAAAAAATCCAACCCAGTAACGAAGTAACCAGTCAAGATTCATGCAGGAAAGCACGGAAATTTTTGTTGGCCAACAGCTACTTTATACAAGGCTTTAACTTATTGATAGGAATTAAAATGTAGTCAATGATTTCAGGAACAACATTCATCAATTTTGTTTACTAGTGTTTAAAAGTTTGTATAGTTTACCAGGTTTAACTTCATTGTAAAGAAGAAGAGAAGAGATGCTGCTAACATCAAACCCATGACGTTGAAATAATAAATATATAAATTTACGTTGACTGTAAGTGGAAGTATTTTGTCCTTTGGATGAATGAAAGTTCCTCATTAGCATAGTCCAATCTCTTAATGGTGGACAATGTTGGCTTCCAAGCTCCCAGGCCTCCTTCACTTGCTCCAGACTTTCAACATTTCTTGGAATTGTTAATGAATTTAGCCAGTCTAAACAGGATTGACCAGGAAGACCATACTTGGCATGGATGTTAAGAGTCACAGGATCTACCGTAATTTCCGGTCGTTTACTCGCACGGCCGATTAGCGAAAAAAAAAGTCAACAGATTACCCGCACTGGTGGATAACCTGCACGTTATGTTATTCAACTTTTTGGTGGCGAAAACGTGACATTAAGGTGATACATTTCAGTCTTTTAAAAGTTGTCTGATCCAACTTTCGAAAACTTGAAGGCGTCTTTGTCGAGTTTAAAGGTCAAAGAAATTCAGACGTGTGCACAGTTCTGTGTCAATATTAGCATGTACTTTATTGATAAAATTAGACAGTAAAAACACTAGCGGCCCATGCCCAAATCTCAACGTTTCATACTAGACAGAATGCGAATTTGTGGCCACATTTTGTGCGAGCGATCGTTCAGCGCCATGTTGATTTGTTGAAAAAAAGCTGGGTGAGTGTTAACACTTGAATTATAAAGTACTGTCGGCGATTTCTGGAAAAAATCGATATCTCCTATATATTGGGCCTAACAAGTCCCTTAAAACGGGAAAATTCTCTTTAGCTCAAGCTAGTGTTAAATGGAAATTTGTCACTGATGCACCGGATATCTTTGGATTATTTTTGTCACCATCAAGGTTTTGTTTTCACGCGTGCCGATAACAATTTGTTCGTCGCGCAACTAATTATGCGTGAAATAAACTCGAGTCAGCATCATGTTTTCGTGCCGCTTTGTGGCACTCTTAATACAATAAAATTCATTTGAGAGGTGGAAACGCATGTCGGTGATAATTTTTTTCAATTCAACTACCAGTAGATTTTAAAATTGTCATATAACCCGCACCTCCCTATTACCCGCAGTGGCGCGCGTTTAATGCAAAATCAACAGATTACCCGCGGGTAAACGACCGGAAATTACGGTAATACCACTGAAGAGCATGCTGGTGGCACTTGATGATACAAAACAGATGAAACTGAGGGTGAAGATAGCTGAAGAGCTGGAGCAGGAGAATTTTGATGAAATGTCTGTAAGACAGTGAATGCAGTGGATGAAACGACTGAGTGGAATATACATGGAGTTGAATAATTATGGACACTTGACTGTGAAGATGAAGGCTGACTACATGTCGGATGCAACAGGCTTAAAGATGATGAAACTTGTTGGAATGGTGATGGTGTGACTTCCACTGGCAAGGATGAGATAGAGGGAGCTTGAGGAGGCAATGTTGCAGGTTGTCCAGATAATGTGGAAGGTAGGAGTGGAGTTGATGAAGATAGCTGAGCATGAAAAAATGGAGACGCTGTACAACCAGTAGCAGAAAAAACTGGAGGAAATGACAGAGAATGCTGACCAAATGGCAGAGTATCTGAAGTGAAAGGTTGAGGATTTACTACTGAGCGGGAAGACTGCTGATTAAATGAGGATAAAGGATGCAGGTCCTGTTGCACTGATAGTGGAAAAGCATTTGACCACAAAGATGCACAAGTTGTAGCAGGTGGGTTATGACTGGATAAAGATGACCTAGATGATGTAGGTGATGTGGATACAGAAGATGTCAAGGTAAATGATGTTAATACAGATGATGTCAAACTAGATGATGCCAATGTAGATGATGTTGATGCAGATGATGTTGATGAAGCTGACATCGATGTAGATGATGTTGGTGTTGACAATGTGGATGATGTGGAAGTGGATAATGATATGGTACATGTAGGCTGCCCTGTATTGCAGGCCTCCATCATTGAAATAAAAACAGACCACCAATACAAAATTTGAAGGGCAGCATTCAGCACTGAACCACAGGCTGTTCCATCTGGAGTCTCAGGAGAGGC